TTTTTTTTTTTTAAGTAATCTCTACATCCAACATGGGGCTCAAACCTATAACCATGAGATCAAGAGTTGCATGCTCTTCTGACTGAGCCAGCTGGGTACCCCAATAATTATATTTAAAAATAGAAACATAAATAGAATACTGATTAATAAAATTACTGTTTTTTTGTGCTACAGATAATCAGTTTTATTTAATCTTAGACTATAAAATACATAGATGTATCTGTATCTGTTCACAGATAAATAGTCCCATTTTCTTACATTTGTGTAATGCTTCATAGTTTTTCAAAGCATTTTCACTCACAATACCTCCACGTACATCCTCTCCTCTGGTTCTGGCAAGAAGAGCCTTGTGAGGGAGCCAGGGCAAGTAGTGTTCCCATTTCATACAAGCAGGAAAGGAGGCTAAGTGATGTTTCTGTAACTTGTTCAAGGTGAAACATTAAGATTCTGTGATTTCCATTTCAGTGATTTTTTTTTTTTTGCATTGTATCATGCTGCTTCTCACTATATTATGCTGAGAGTCAACATGTCACTATCTAGCTTAATTTACAGGATTCTCTTGATAAGGCTGGTTGAACTGACCCCTCCATCAAAAGGGACTAAAGGGGCAAGCATTTCCCCACGTTTCACATGGTCTGATTATCTTTGTCTTCAGTGGACAACTAACTATCCAGGTATGAAAAACATGATTAAGAAACACTAAGCTGTTCAATTCTCCAAGAAAGGGCCATCTTTACACCTCACCAAGTCAGAAACTACAAAAGAAGTCCCAAACAAAAAAATCCTAATAATGCATGTTATCAAGTAAAAATTGGATACCTTCTGTTTCTTTACTGTGGTAAAGAATGTTGTCTGGGTTCCTTCCACCTAAAGACCCACTTATCAGACCTGTGGCAGAACTCCACATCTGATTTCAGCCTTGGGGAAGCAAAGAGGACAAAGCTGAAAAGCTCAGCTTTCTGGATGATATGGCTGATTCAATGAGCTCTTTTCTGCTTCTGAGTCTGCTGGCCAGGAGACCTGGATATGATAGGGCTTCAGTTCCTCAGGAGGGAGAGAATCTGGGGCATTGCTCATGAGGTCATGCCCCCGGAAGGATTTGGGGAAGGCTATGACATCTCTGATGCTTGGTGCTCCAGTGACAAGGCATATCAGTCTGTCCAAACCTGGAAGTAAAATATCAAAGTTAACAGATGAGAATGTAACCTAAGGTTAAGTGACTAAGTTTTTCTTTTAAAAAAAAA